TTTCTATGTCTGCATGTCATTGTGCAATCCAAACATTTTCCATAGCAGTGTTTTAATGTTATGGCGCTGCTGTGACTATAATGACCCATGTACATGTAACATATTTGAGAGGAGCAGCTGAGTTAGTCATTTGTGCTGAGCAGCTTCAGACACACTGATTTAAGCATATATCCCTGTGTATACAAATGAGTTGTGCACCTACTCTTGTCACAGTTAAGTGCAACATAATTTCTCCAACTCAGATTGGTCCATATTGTCACTGCTCCATTTGATAAACCAGATGGATTGCATAAGACTGAATTGATGACCACTCAGCCATCTGGAAACCTAGTGATAGTGGCTTAACTGTTGTTAGCAAAGGACATCTGTAGTTTTAGCTGGCTGTTCCTCTTTTTCTGTTTGTGACTCATTTGTTCTTCTAAAATGGGAGGGCTTCTTCACTACCCTTTCCCTTGTGTCATGCTAAGAGAAGTCCTAGGAAGACCTGGTTCAGACCTCACGTTCGACACAATCTCACATGAAGATCTTACACCCTGCTGTGTTGCCCACTCCTGTGCCAGGCTAGCAGTCTGACTTCCCATAGCTGTAACCTCCAGGCAACTAGAGCTGATACACTAATCTGAACAGCCACTCCCAAAACATCCCTGGCAACTATGTCATTGGCCAGCAGCCGTGATGATACTACTGAGTGAAGACTCCACATTGGCCAAGCACAATCATCCTGCAGAAATGGCAGTAATGCCAAAGAGCGTCTGGCACCTGGGGCAGAACAGGCTGGAAGTATGGCAGAGCAAACTGGAAGGGGTTGTGGTCAAGGTAGAAGATCTGAGCAGAATCACCAAGCAGGGACTTAGGTCAGAGCTGGTTTGAGGGCGAAGCCAGAACTTCAGGTGCCAAGCCTAGTCTGATACACGGTATGGAGGTGGCCTGTTGGCATCCCTAGTGCAGCTTATGAATTCCCTCTTGCCACTGGCACCACTCAAATCGCACCCTTGCTAGGAATATAATTTAAATAGGGAAAATACTACACAGGAATGATTCTTCCAGTGCATCATCCTCCCGGAAGGTATCATTCGATCTAAGTTTCTTAGGTTAGGTGACAGGAAAAAGATTGGAGTGCTACAGGGACACCAATAATTCTCCAAAACCAGTGTATTTGGAACATTGCACACAATGTGTAAATGCATCTATGTGTGACAAGGGACACCCACAAATTACAAGGGAGAGGGAAAGGAGCAATATGAATAAAGGAACATGGTCCCAGCAGCCACAAGTTCACTGGGCAAAGAGGGCTGCAAGAAGAAACCAGGAATATGGGATTGAGTCATGTTCCTAGGAGTTTGAAATGTGGCTTCCACAAGACAAAGCCTTTCTTTAATGTGTCCTTCCTCCCACACCACCAGTGGCCTAACTATGCTGGCATATATCTTTACGAGTATGTACCTCTATTGTAAAGAGCCTTCATAGTGATCCTGGTCAGCCTGGTGGACATAACATTCACGCTTCTTGTGTAACTTTGGGCACTGTTCTCTCAGACACAGCTTTCCATCAGGGGTAATATTACTGTTCTAACTGTGATCAAAGGGCATGATTCTGAAACAGTGCTTCCACAAAAGCCAACGAGGTTGGTACATTTGGGAAGCTGCCTTTTACTGGGCAGACTTGTCCTGCTAGCCCAGTTTTAGCTCCTTTTGCCTGTGATTCTCTACCATCTCTAGAGAAGCCAGGGACCCTCTGCATGGAAACCGTGACGCTGCACTGAGCTACAGCCTGATTCTTGGGATCACAAACATTCTTGAGCTTATTGTGATGGTGCATTTAGTAATACAGTACATGGTATTTTCGTAGACCCGGCACTTCCCATTCTTCGTTTGAATCAAGGGTGAGTGGGACAATAGAAACACAAGGGCGAAACAGGAGGGTATCTTCATAAACTGTGGTATCTTTGTAATATAATGTCAGTCCGTTCCCCTATCCTTGGGGAAACAGCATTGATGTTGGAGCTGAGTATACAGTAAAACTTGATTCCAGAGCTCCAAATTTTAGTAATGGTGTTCAAAGTAGCATATCTGTTGTGTCAGAAATAAGCTGCAGGGTATCATTGCAGTTCTGAGTAACACTAGTAAAGAAATTCTGTTGGAGACAGAGGGACAATGTTCCCAGAAAGGACCAGAGCCCTGCTCTTGGATACACCCAAGATTATTTTTTGTGGGGAGGGGGCTTTAGGCTTTTTTGTTTGTTCTGTCTTGTTAATTCTTTGTAGCTTACAGTAACCAGACAGCAGGAGGAGGAGCTGCTCTTGATGAATAATCACATGTGACATGAAACAGAGCTATATGCAATCATCCTCTCCCCTCCCTAAAGAACATGCCTCCATTTCAATCAGATTTGAGTTGGTCCAGGGAGGAAGAGAAGAAGAAATCCATATCTGTGAGCCCTGAGCACTTGTGTGTGTAGGACACAGTACACCTGAACTTTGGCCATGCATGGCAGAACACCAAGTAGGTACTGTGTCTCCCAACCCAGGCTGGCAGCCTCAGATAGGAAGGATACTGAACTTGGTCCAGGGACGCAGATCGGCCATCACTTCCTCTAGTTTACTCATGTAGCCCAGAGATGGCATGAGGGAACGCTCACCAGGGCTGGAGCCCCACATGTTTTCTTTAGAGCTCTAAATCTCTGAGAGGCCCTTCTGCTCCACTACCCTGCTTTTCATGGACATGTTCCAAAATAAAGGAACAGGGGCCCAGATGATCTCTGTTGTATTGAATTAGCTGCCTTTCTGCCACACGTGCTTTACCTCCTGCTGCCTGCACCCTTTTTTGCCTGAGGGCTTTTCCACCTGAAATTCCATACCCTTCTTTTCTTGCCCATATATCCCTTTTTACCAATAAGTAGTTCCTTTGCAGAGAGGGTACTTAAATACACACACACACAGGGAGAGAGAGAGAGAGAGGGAGAGAGAGACTTTAGAGCATATGTAAATTAGCATATACAAAAGTGTGCATTTTTGTTAGTTTTGTGGAGAGGACTACCTCCCTTGAAATTGTCTTGGGGGTGAGGGGCTTGAGCGCCTCAACTCAACCATCACCGGTGTACAATAATTCAGAGAAGCCACATGAATAATCTTAATCAAGTTTCCTGTTCTTTACCTTGGATTAAAAAGAGCAGTGCTTCCAGGCGCAGCACCTGGCTTCCCACTCAGCCACAGCAGGCCCCTCTGCTGCGTGGCTGGATCAAGTGGCCAGGCCACACTGGGCGGCTGTTTCCGTCCTCTGCTGCATCCCAGCACTGCAGAGGTGGACAGCTACATGGGGCCTTGGACTGCTTGGGCGAGTATGTGACTGTGAGCATGTGAGCAGCGCCTCTTAACACTGCATGCAGTCGGAGTGAAGACCAAGCTTGCTGTAACTGCCAGATCAAATTGCCCAGCGAACATCTGTTCACTAGCTTAACATTTCTCCCACTTTCCACCCACCCTGAAGTTCCTATTGCAGAAAACCTCAAGAGCAATGTGTCATTTAAATGTCATTTTATTGTACAAATAGTAAAGGTTGCACCTTTGAGGAACTATTACAATAATCCCATAGGAATTGCTTACACTAAGGTGGGGCAGGAGGAGAGCAGGGAATCACACTTAAAGAGAAATGCAACATTGGACCAACGGCTCCTTACTATTTTGTTGCAAAGGTGTGTTTCCTAAAATCCCGAATGTGCATTACATCATCATATACAGGATTATGGACAAAATTACAGTACAGATGGATTTCAGCTGAACCAGCATTACATTTCAGACAGCTCTTATTCTGGATTGCATTGTACATGCATAACTATATTGTTCTAATTACGAAGTCAAATGGTTTGAACTTGTTTTGAAACTACTGACTACAATTGGTATATATTATATAATCATACCATCATAAATCTGATTTGCTTTCAACTTCTGGACAAAAATATGACAAACCACAGATTCATGTGACTATGTATAATAAATCATGCATTTAACATTGCCTGGAAACACCAGTGTTTTCAAGTTAACTCTTGTTTTCTTCAAAATCACACCATGTGAAGGAAAGGAGGTCCAAAGATTATAAAGAAACAGTGCAAATTGAATATGATAGTCAAGCAGCTTTTGATTAAGTCAGGGAGGGGTGTTGGCATTTGCTTATTAGAAGATAGGAGTATATATACATAGGCTTTTTTCAAAACGTGTTGGAATCAGATACTAGAAGAAGAAGCAGTTCCTTCTTCCATCCCATCAAAAAGACTGTAGAATTCTAATTATTACTGCAGGGAAATAAAATGTTTTATGGAGAATATGTTGCTGGTTCTTTGTCATTTTTCGGTGTGAATGCTTCAAAAGGAAAGTGGAAAGGGGAGGTGCTAAGGCAACAGAACAACTTTTTTCTTCTAAGCACTTTTCTGCTGGTTTAAATTACTTAAATTATTCTGTATAAATTAGATATAATTCTACTTTGTTTCCAATACGTATAAAAATTGATGAAGCTGCATGGTTTAAAATAGTTTATCAAAAGTTATTAAAAATTCTGTACAAAATCACAACAAAATAATTCAGCGTGGGAAAGGTAGCAAGTAGGAAAAATGCTGATTGAAAAATAGAGATTTTATATATACTCTTTCTTTTCTTACTTTTTTCTTTCTTTTCTTTTTCTCTTTTTGTAACCGGCCCATGACAAGTTTCGGAAAGAAAAATTGCATAGATCCTAATTATTGCTCGTGGTTTTGTTGTCCCGATCAGATCACTGGGGAGGTGAGCGGCATCTTTTCTACAGCCCCAGCGCGGGTTTCGATCTGGGGTGGAGAGGGGAGGCGAACGCAAAGGGGGCACGGGAGGAAGCGCGGCCTCCCCGTTGCTCTCGAAGGCAGGAGCAGCAGCGCGCGCTGGCGGCGCCGCGCCCGCGAGTCCCGTCCGTCCGTCTGTCCGTCCGTCCGCCCGCCCGCCCGGCGCGCGCCCGTCTCGCGGCCCCCGCGCCGCGCGCTCAGTCGTGGAACAGGGCGCCGAGCTGCGCGCTCACGACCCGCTCGTGGTGCGCGTGGCCCTCGTAGGGCAGCAGCGCGTCCAGCGGGATCTCGCAGCGGGAGGCGGCGGCGGCGGCGGCGCACGGGAAGAGCGGGCCGTGCGCCGGGGCGCCCGCCAGGCCGGCGGCCGCGTAGTGCATGGGGAAGGCGAAGCCCTTGTCGAACTCGCCGGAGGGCTCGTGCTTGAAGGAGAAGTTCCCGTTGACGCTGAGCGGCGGGCTGAGCGGCCCGTCGAAGGCCGGGCTGGCGCACTCGGCCAGCGCGCTCTCCAGGAAGGGCTCCAGCGCCGCGCCGTACGCGTGCGGCGCCTTGACGTGCAGGACGTGGGAGCTGTCCATGGTGCCGTAGGGCGGGCTCGGCAGCCCCGGCGACTGGTAGGCGTACGCGTGGGCCGCGAAGGGCGCGCCGGCCGGCTGCATGTGGGGCGGCAGGTCCTGGCTCTGCTCGGGCAGGAAGGTCCTCGGGTTGAGCTGCAGGCAGCCGGCCACCAGGTTGGTGGTGGGCTGCGAGAGGCCCTTGCAGAGGCTCTGCACGAAGGACACCAGGTCCGGGCTCTTGCCCGAGCGCAGGATCTCGGAGAGGGCCCAGATGTAGTTCTTGGCCAGGCGCAGCGTCTCGATCTTGGACAGCTTCTGCGTCTTGGAGTAGCAGGGCACCACCTTGCGCAGGTTGTCCAGGGCTGCGTTGAGGCCGTGCATGCGGTTCCGCTCGCGGGCGTTGGCCTTCATGCGGCGCAGCTTGAACCTCTCCAGGCGAGCTTTGGTCATCTTCTTCTTCTTGGGCCCGCGCCGCTTGGGCTTTTGATCGTCGTCTTCCTCCTCGTCCTCCTCGTCCTCGTCCTCCTCCTCCTCGTCCTCCTCGTCCAGGTCGTCGTCTTCCTCCTCTTCCTCGCCGGTTCTCAGCGAGTCCCCCTCGGCCTCGGCGTGCATCGCCTCCAGATCCTCCTCTTTCTTGTCCGCCTCGTGCTCCTCGTCCTGCGAGCTGAGGCGGTCGTCAGCCCAGCTGGGGGGCCCTTGCGGCTGGGCCTCCCCCATCAGCCCGTGCTCACTGTACGATTTGGTCATTCTGGGATGTCCTGCACGCAGAAGAGAGCACAAGAAAAGTACACTGAACGGAGGGCGCGGCAACGATTTCTCCCCTCAGAGGCCTCCCTCGCGAAGGCTGCAACCCTAAACACCCTACGGAGTAGTAAGCTTCACGGAGCACAGCGAGGCTTACTTCCGAGCAAACCTCCATAGGTCTGCAAAGGAGGCGTCGATTAGGCACCCGTTCACTTGTCTCTGCACTGAAATCTCTGAAAATGAGACCGTTCATTACAACACATTCCAAGGAAGGCATCCATGCAATTCACATTTTCCACGTTTAAAGCCGGTTCATAGACGGGCTCTGCCCAACCGTGTGCTGAACTCACTTAGAGGAGCGCCCCCCCCCCCTTGCCCTCTTTTGCTCCTTCCCCCCCCCCCCCCCCCCCCGCAACAAACTTCCTAACTTCTCTGCTCGTCTGCACTTCCAGGAGATCTGTCTTCTCAAATACCATTATGTAACTTGTTTATATTGGTGGCGATGGCTCTGAGAGGATTATATGCAAGCAGAAATTTGCCAGATACCATCGAAAAGAAGAGCATGCCTCTGAAAAGGCAGAAGAGGCAGGGCAAATCGCCAGTGATGATTCCGCCAGGACAGGATTTGTTCCTTTCTTTGGGCTCCTTTTCATCCCCCCCCCCCCCCCCCCCCCCCCCCCCCACGCCCGCCGACTCCATCCTGCACAATGGCCGTGCAGACTTCCCAACTGTTCAGAGTCAAGGAGAGCTCCGCCGCCGAGACGGGGATCAGGTGCAGCCTAATAAACCGCCCCTCCACCCGCCTTTTCGCGGGGGCGTCCTTCTGGTCTTAGAGGAACTTCCATGTTCTGGGGAAACGTCGGCTAATGAGTGGGTTGGGATGAAACCTGCCGGGTGGCGGGACGAGCGGCGCTAGTTCAGTCTGCTTTGCAGGGCAAAACGCAACAGTTGAGCGCCTGGTTCAGCTGCTCGGCGGCTTTGAAGGCGTCTGCTCCTCCGGCCCTGCGGGGCATCCCTGCCTCGCCTTGCCCTGAGAGGCAGCCGGCCTCAGCCGCCCCTCTTCCCTCCCCAGCCTATCCTTGTGCCCGTGCGTTTGCTTTTTGTTTTGCTTATTCCCAAATTAAATTCAGACGACCGCGAAGTTGGATCAAAGGAGTGGAAATCGTTCTTCTCCTGCCCGCCTAAGTCCCCCCGCTGCCCGCCACTTTCATCCTCAAAACATAGACACCCTATCCCATCTTGGCTCTCCCTAGAGGAGACCTGCCGAGATGGATGGGAGGCACTGGAGGCGACACCCATTCCAGAACACCCGCTTCTCCCAGCCAGATGGACAAGATCCGCTGGAATCGTTCCGCGTTTCCCGGATCAGTGCCAGTCACTCAAAAGGGACCAATACGCCGAATCTTTCCGATTGCATGCCCCCAGGACAAAACTTCTCTTGCTAACATTGGGAGAGCAAGCCGAGTGACAATCCGACACAGAGTTGCTACTGAGACCATCGTATTGAACTCAGCGGGGCTTACTCCTGAGTAAACATGCTTAGGATCGGGCTGGAAGTCACCCCCACCCACCCACCCAATGTACGCCGAGAAAGGTTTGCTAACAGGGCATGCCATTTATGGGGAAAGGAGGGGAAATTCAAGGATCCTTCCATCCATCGATCCTGTCCTGTAGAGATAACGGTAAGCCCAGCGATGGGATGTTGGCTCTTTATTCCCCACCCCCAGGCGAAGAAATTAGGGCAGCCTCGAGGAGCATCACTGCACAAGGCTCCAGGGACTCGAGCCTCAGCATTACCTTTCCTTTTCAGAGGGTCCTTCGCAGTGATCGTCTCATAACCCTGGTGCGCCTGGAGAGCTCTCCGTGGGTAAGGAAGGGCTCCTGCTCTTTCCCTTTCTTTTTCTTACTGTTTTTTCCCCTATGAGGCTGCGTGGAGGAGGCTCCGGTTATATAGCCAGGTTCTTCTGCCGGGGAAGGGGAGGGGCGGGGCGGGGCGGGTCCTGGAGGCGCCCCCCGGTGAGGGGCGAGCGGCGAGCCCCGCCCCCTCGCCCGCCCCGCCCCCGGCCCTTCAGCCTTCCCCGGCACGCGCCATATGGTCACCCACGTCAAGCTCCGAGGGGGGTCACGTGAGCTGCCCATTTGTATGCCGCCCGCTTCTCCATCCCGTCCCTTTGTGGCCCGAAGAAAGTGGCCATCTGTCGCCAGCCAGCGACTCCGCGGACCTGTTTGTACCCGCAGGAGAGATTAACCCTTGCGCCGCGGGCAAAGGCTGCAAGGGGCGGCGGGGCGGGGGAGCGGGAGGGCGGGGAGGGCGGGCGGTGGTCCCCTCGCGCTGTGCGCATCTCTCGATCGCGGGCAGGGGCGCGAAACTTCTCGGCTCGGAAGCGGGAAGGCAAGGCTGGGAAGGATCCTGGACGAGCTCGCCTGGGAACCCAGCCCTCGTCCGTCCTTTGCCACCCAGCGTGGCCATAGAAGGTCGCCGCCCAGAGTCTCCCCTGCTTTGCCCCAAGGGACGGAGCGGGCTCTTTGGTCCACGCGTCTCCCCGGCGGACGAGCCCTTCTGAACGGGGGGGGGGGGGCAGGCGCCGAGGGGGGCGAGCAGCTCCTTCCGACATCTTCGGCGGGCGCAGTCCTCTCCCGCGAATGCTTCCAGCGCATCTCGCTCGCAAACGCGCGCGCGCGCCCGAGGCGGACGATCCGGGACGACCCGGGACCGTCCCTCCGTCGACTTTGCCCTGATCTTGTCACTGCGCTCCTGGGGGACTCCTGCCTCGCGCCTGTGTGGAGGTGAGGCAAACGTCACCGGGATGCCCCTTTGGGCCAGGTTCGCGAATCGCCTCGCCTCCTCCCCGGGTGGGGGTGGGCAGAGGGGGAGGGAGAGCCGGAGAGCGGAGGGAGGGAGCGATCGGACCGTCAGACGTGCAACAGCTTTTCCTGGCACAGCGCTGGTCCGTGGCAGCAAAACCAACACAGACCGAGAAACCTGATCCCGAGGCGGGAGCTTCCGTAGGCAAGACCCCATCCGTCACATAAGAGCCATTCCAGGTGGGGGTGGACGCTTTCTGCCAAAGAGGCCTGTGCGCCTGGTCTCCAGAAATCGGAATCTCCCCATGAAATGCTAGAAAAAAAGCTAACTTGCTCCCCCGCACCTTCCAGGGATGCGTGGTTTTATACATGCGATTTAAGAAACAAACCCCGAACGAGGAGGATACAAATGGGTGCACGCAGAAAAAGATACAGCAGTTTTTAAACATGGTTACATTGAAAAGCTATCTGCTTAAACATGTGCGCACATTCAGTACAGTTTGTTCACCTAGAAGGAAAAATTGCACCCAGAGAAAGCCTTTCTGTTTTCATGATTACTTCTTTGATTTATACCCCTCAATCTGTCTTTCCTCCCAACAGTTCAGAGCTGTTTCCAGGGGGTTCTCAAGTGAACTTCAGCTATTTCCATAAGCCAGAAGTAGGTCAGATAGTACCGCCCAGATATTTTGCACTACAACTTCTGTCAAGTCCCAGCCAGCACAGTGAATGAGCAGAGCTTATGGGTGCTGTAGTCCAAAACACCTTGAAGACGTCAGGTTACCTATTCCTGACCTAGGCCATCTAAACTGCAATCATTTACCCATTTACCTTGGAATAAGTCCCATTCATTTCAGTAGGGATTACGTCTGAGTAGAAACGCGTAAGATTGCATTACAGCTATTGCTGGGAAGAGCCCGGGAAAGGGCCACTTTCCCTGTGTGCATAAGATGCATTTCCATCTCTGGATGTGTTTGATGAGACAGACATCCGTCTTCCTCAGTCACGTCACTCTGCATCATCCCACCAGTTCAGTGATGGGTGATTTCCTGCAAAGTCCCCGGGCAACCCCTTCTGTGTTTTGATGTATTTGAGGAGGATCCAGCTTAATCTTCCTTCTTTATTTGGACAAGGAGAAGCCTTGCTGAAGGACACGCACGACACTTTAGGAGAGGGTTTTAAGCGCGAAGAATTGTTTCACCAGCTTGCTGTTTTTTCCAGTGACAGTGGGCGGGGGGGGGGAGCCTCAAGGTGTCCTCCTTTTTTTCAAGAGCAGGTGAAAGACACAGGGGGATGATAGGAACTGTAGTCCTATTCATCTAGCGGATGCAAGGGTTGGGAAGGCTGAGAGGCATCCGTCTAAAAAGGTGGAGAAAACAATAAATAGCACTTGGGTTTTGGATCTGTGAGTTTTGGAAATGTGGATTCTGCCCGGTAGTGGTAGTTCCATTTGTCTTTGCTCTCTCAGCAGAGGACATCGAAGTCGAAGCCCCTTTGAAATCCTGAAGGTGCCCTGTGAGGCATCTGAAAGCAGACAATGTTTCTTTCCTTGATTGCCTGACAGTACTTCCAGCGATTCTTCTGTCGGATAGTATGAAGGGTGCATTGTGGCTTGTCCTTTGTGGCTGAATCCTTGTGGAACGATCTGTCTGCCTACCCTCCTCTGGTTAGAGCAGGTGAAGCATTAGGCACGAGTTGTTCAATGGGTATTTCTGAAAACCAAAAGATCCAAAATTAACTAAGGAACCAGGCTAAGCCTCCCTTTCTCATATGTTGTGGTGGAGGGGAACACTGGGTTTGGACAGCTTCTTCAAATTCTCACTTAAGTGTAGACTCGGCTGCCGGTTCCCCATATCAGAGTCACAGTCAAGGCGATAAAATTGATGTGAACATTTGAGTCACCCACAGAGGTTGTGAATATGGAACCATAAATGGTTGCTTTCCTAGACTAACATGACATCATCACAAGGGTCTAATCCTTGTGGTTCCATAATCCCGATTATGACAATGAAGTTCATTTGAGTAGCTTGGAGGGGGGGAAATAACTTAATCTTGATAACCTACCTCCCAAGGTTCTTGGGAGGATGCATTAGATAACAATTACAGAACAGTGGTTGATTCTGAGAGAAGTGGGATAATAGAAGCAATTCAGGTGGGTAGGGTGGTTCTGCCCTACCTTATTGTTTTAAAGGCTAGTCAGA